CATAATAAATTATGGTTGCACAGTTGCCTCCTCTTAAAGGACACTCAGGATCAAGGGCAATGTTTTCTTTCATCACTAAAATTTCTCTCAAGTGAGTATAGGTTACCTATAGTCTCATAATTCATCTCAAAACATTCCAATGTTTTGCCAATTTCTGTAAAAATAGGTAATGCAATAGAAAGTAAAACTTTGATACATTTATGATTAGCTTATTTATTTTTAAATTTTTTTATTGCTTAAAATATTACAAAGAGTATTACATATGTCTCCTTTTTTCTTTTCTCCCATTGACCTTCCCGTGGCCTCCCCTACCCCCCAGTGTCTTGTGTCCATTGGTTATGCTTATATGCATGCATACAAGTCCTTCGGTTGATTTAAAAAAATACAAAACTATAACTTTGGCCACAGGACCTCCAGGTTTTTATTTTCTGCGAACCATTCTGTTCTACATCATTGTCAATTTATTTTATGAGCATTTACTGCACAGCACAAGCAATTACACATCAAAGGCATTCTCTGTATTTAGCCCTTTGCGGTCCAATTTTATTTTTGGAATTCAAACAGTCTGGTCCAAATTAATTGACGGGATTGAATGTTGAACCGGTTTGCGGTGTCGACCTCAGCCTCGACGTTGGACCTGCTAATATAAGGAAATAATTGAATAAATAAATGAGGGAGGAGGGACAAATCTTGCAGAATTCCATGTTGAATATGTAGATCCTCTTCCCTCAAGGAGATGGAGCTCCCTTGAGTGTGGGCTGCACTTAATGACTCACTTCTGAAGCATGAAGTATGGAAAGGGAAAAATGGTAACTGTACAATGGAAAACGTGGCAGACATTACTTTAACCAAGTAATCAAAGTTAAGGTCAAGTCCTTTATCAAGGGCTATTTTGGTCATATTAATGCAGAGCATGGGAATGACAAAGTGACATCTTTACATCACTGTGATGTAACAGTTATGTTTTATTCCTTTTCTCCTTAACCCTGATTTTGACTAGTTGAAAGTCAGTCTCTCCAAAAGCTTCTTCTTGGAGTAGCTGAACATTTAGATGAGGTTAATGAATGTTACACTGATACAGTGGTTCTTCATTGTAGGAGATCCCCCTCCATACTCAGCACTGTTTTTGGGATTGTGTATGTATATATGTATGTGTGTGGGGGGAGGACTTGCTACATATTTAGTGGGTAAAGACCAGGGATGCTAAAAATCCTGTAATGACTTCCACAACAAAGAATTATCTGGCATCAAATGTCAATCGTGCTGAGGTTGAGAACCCTAAACTAATAAATGCATATGTCCAATAGACATTTATTGGGTACTTATAGTATCCCTCACATAAGGCTACATTTTCCAGATGACACAGATAGGCCCTGCCCATCTCCTCTGGAAGCTTACCAGCATGTTGGGGAGTTGGATTACAGATGAAACACAGTACTGTATATGACATTTTATATATAAAAGTCACTACTGTATAAGACAATTTATATATAAAGGCCATGCAACCCGGCCAGCATGGCGCAATAATTGAGCATCGACCTATGAACCAGGAGATTGCAGTTCAATTCCTAATTCCTGGTGGAGGTGCATGCCTGGGTTGTGGGCTAGGTCCCCAGTGTGGGGCAAACAGGAGGCAGCCTATCAGTGGTTCTCTCTCATCATCGATGTTTCTATCTCTCCCTTCCTCTCTGAAATAATAATAAAAGAATAGTTCAAATAAGTGTTTTGGATTGTCTAGAAAGGTAAAGAGTTATCTAAAATGGCTCTGTGTAGGAGACAGGACTTTCAATGGACCTTAAGTACTGGTGTAATGAGTAGGAAAGAGGAAACCGGAAGAACCATTTATTTTACTTAAGCAATACCCAGAAAAAAAAAAAGAAATACCAGGAATAAAACATGATTTGAATAGTCATAAAGACTGTTGGTACACTCTTCTTTTCAATGCTACTTACAGTGGTGGGTGGGACCTTATAGTTTTTTCACACAGCTGAAAAGAGGTTTCAATTGAGTAGGGTGCATCAGTGTGTTGAAATGATTGTTTACCTCCTCCCATCTGAGAATAAGTGCCTCACAGACGTGCTTGGGCTAATATTATTTTCCTTTTGGTCATATTATTCCTCACTGGTAACTTTACTCTTCATTCCCCTTTTTTGCCCTTTGTGCCCACCCCTATTTTTTACCCTTTGCGCCCACCCCTATTTTTTAATATGTGATGATGATTAGCTGTAGATTGTATGAGATTATATGTTGTTTATAGAACTTTATACCATCCACAATGATGATTGCAACACCTTCAAGGCTCTTTGGAAATAGATATTGTGGGGACTCCATTGGTTGAAAAGAAAGATAAAATTCTCCTTGCCAGACTTAGTAAAGGGACTTGAAACATTTGTTAAAATGTATCTTGGCCAGTAGATGGCGCTCTCATCCCTTTGTGTAAATATGTTATGAATGAATAAGCTCTCTCTTTGCCCTCCCTTCCCCCAAGCGCTGTTGTAGTGAAAACCAATCCATCTCCAAGTCCTTTCTAAATCTTTTTTAAAAATATATTTTTTAATTGAATTCAGAGAGGAAGGGAGAGGGAGAGAGAGATAGAAACATCAATGATGAGAGAGAATCATTGATTGGCTGCCTCTTGCACGCCCCCTACTGGGGATTGAGTCTGCAACCCGGGCATGTGCCCTGGACTGGACTGGAATCAAACCCAGGACCCTTTAGTCCACAGGCCCATGCTCTATCCACTGAGCCAAACCAAATCTTTTAAATTCATCTTCTTTATTTCAGGTCCTTCCCATATCTCTCCTATGGTATTAGAATAATGTAATAACCTGCCTCTAGTATCCTTTGGTCCTAAGGTCCTAACCCAATATGTTATCATCAGAATCACTTTCCAAAAACACAGATTGCTGAAAAGTGGTGTGTATGGAGGGTGGCAGTGGGGGGGCGGGTGCGGGATTCTCTATGAAGGCAATGGCAGGAACAGAAAATTCAAAGGGAAGTGGAGGCCTCTCTAGGTAACAGATTTGTCTCAGGGCAAGTGTGACTGGCTATTGTGGGAAAGGTAGATTCAGATCCTCCTGCCAAGAAATTAGAACTTGCTCAATAGGCCTCAGTGGTTCTCGACCTGTGGGTCGAGACCCCTTTGGGGGTCGAACGACCCTTTCACAGGGGTTGCCTAAGACCATCGGAAAACACATATATAATTACATATTGTTTTTGTGATTAATCACTATGCTTTAATTATGTTCAATTTGTAACAATGAAATTGGGGGTCACCACAGCATGAGGAACTGTATTAAAGGGTCGCAGCATTAGGAAGGTTGAGAACCACTGCCATAGAGAATCACTGGATTCGAAGCTGTGTTTGAACAAGATTAATGGGACCAGGCATGCGGATGGGCTGGGTGAAAAGAAAGAGTTCAGTGGAGAAAGCTTATAAGAAGGGTAAAGGGAGAGGCATAGTCATCTGATTTGCAGTTTGGAATACTCAGAGAAGTAGTTCCTCAACCACAATATTCATCTGTAAAATACTTAGTTACAGAATCAATGTCAGGAAACATCTAGGAAGTCAGGAATACACCCACATATTCTGATGTGTCCTGTGTGCACGTGTCTGTGTGGCCAGCCTTATGTTTTCTCACTGCCTCTGGGTAGATTAGTAGATGCCAGAAGCAAAGCCACTACACTTGTTTTCAAGTTAGAAGCAGAAAAAAGAAAAACAGCTTGAGCTGCTTTCGGTATCACAGGCTTTCAATGTGTTATTATTCAACACTACAGTGTCAGATTTAGATTTTCCACCTCGAGGAATTGGGTTTAGCTTTAATTAGTTGCTGTGAATATTTCTGAGCCAACTCTTGGGAAACATTTATCTAGAAAAGTGGTTTCACTAAAATATAAGCTGGATTTAGGGTGTCATTTTTCTATCAAGCTTTGTATCATGTTCACACAGTTATAAATTCTCTCCCGCCATCTGGATGATTTTTGCCACCGCCCACCATTGTTATATCAGATAATTATTCATTATAATTTAAAATACTATAATATTGAGGCCATCTGTATTGCCACCCAAGCTCTATGAGTAGCTGCAGGACTTTAGATCATGAATATTTTTCAGAGAAAAGATGATGCAGGTTATTCTGCATGGAGGCAACTAATGCATTTTTCATCCTGCAACTCTTCAGAAAAACAAGCTTAAAAATACCAGACAAATGAAAAACAGACTTCAGCAGTTACATGCAGCTTCCTGAGTGACTGAAGAATGTGCCTCTTGTGGTTAAAATGAGGGATCTGTTTAATATGGACGAAATACCAACACTCCAGGCATTTTCATTGACATTTCACTGTGACTCTTTGAACTTAGGAGTGCTGACACGAAAACCTATTCTTGCTGCTCTGGAAGCCTGCAGGCAGACTCCAGAGCAGGGCAGGCGAGGTAAACGGCTGTGTCCCTGTCACCTTTTCTCTGCTTGTGTCTTTGTGTTTATACTTCACTTTCATTTATACTGTTGCACTCCCCCGTTTCCCAGGATTCCTTTTCTGAAACCAGTTAGGAAACCAGGCAAGGGTTTGTTCTTATGCTCTCAAATCCCATGGCCTCGCCAGCACTGGACTTGCGTACTGGATCAAAGTGAAAATATTTGTGATGGGTATTTGTAAAGACCTTTGCCAAAGGTCAAAGAGCACGTCTGTTCCTTGGAACCATTAGTTTCCCAGAGGGGCTCTCGGGGCACATTGGAGAACAGATTCAAAGGGTAAAGGAGTCTAGGGAAGCCCCCTTCTGTGATTCCCCCCAGCGCCGGCTGGGCTGGGCTGGGCTGGGCTCCGGGGCAGCCCGGTTGTCTGGCAGCAGCCCGGGAGAGACATGCTGTTATATGTTTAAATCCTCCACATTCTTTGCCATATCCCCATTGGCCGGATGGGGCTCCCCGCCGCCGGCCGCTGCTGATGTCAGCCTTGCTGGGCGCTGGCTCCTCCCGCACCCCACCTCCCGGGCCCGAGGCACACTGCAGCTCCGCGCGGACTCCGGCTCTGGCGAGGTGGCTGCAAACTCGCGGGCACGCACGGCGCTCGGGGAGCCGGGGGACTCGGGGGAGGGGACGCGTGCGGAAGGCGCCAGCTTGCTCTCGCCCGCCTCTCGCCGCGCGAGCCGAGGTTGGAGGAACCCGGGGCCTCAACCCGGCTGAGCCCAGCGGCGGCGGCTTCCCTTTTCTACCCCAGCGAGCTCCAGAGCGCCTCGGGGACCGGCCCTCAAAAGAGCAGGAAATCTTGTTTACCGCCCGGGGAGAGGAGCCCATCGAGCCTTTGTCTGGAAAGTCAGCATCTCCAGATGAATTCCTGCAATGAGTTTCTGGTGAATTAGCATTGGGCGGCACGGCCGGAGAAGGGGGTCGCTAGGTTCACGACTGGTTTCAGAGGCGTATCCAGCGGGTGACTTTTGTGCATTCGTTTTAATTTTTGGAAATCTCTTTTTCCCCCCTCCCTCGCCGCCACCGGGCATGTCCTGATCTGACGGCCGCTCCTATCGCCTTGAGCTGCGGATCCGAGTGGTTTCCAGCGGGGCTCCCTCCCTCCCTGACTTTGCAACACCGCGTTCCGGGAGAACCGACCTCGGTGAGGAAGGGGGCGGGGGAGCCGCGAACACCCGGACCCAAACCTTGACATGCTCTCGGGTGGAGAGGAGGAAGCCAGGAGCTGAGTGCACCGCCGGGGCTGTTTCTCCCGCCGGCTCCGAGCGCGGGGCTCCGGGCTCCCTGCCCTGCGCCTGGGAGGCAGCCTTGTTGTTCTGGGGGCTGCCCCCCACTTCCTGCTCTGGTGGTCCACGGCCGGCAGGACCATGCTGCTCAAGGAGTACCGGATCTGCATGCCGCTCACCGTGGACGAGGTAAGCGCCGCGCCCGGCCTTGCCGCGCCCGCTCTCGGCCCCCCTCCTGCTCTCCCCCCCCCCCCCGCGCCCCGGGACGCCGTGTACCCCGCGGCCGCCTCCCGGCCGTCGAGTCCACTACGGGCGGCAAGGAAACCTGGTGGAACATTATCTCCAAACCAGAAGGCTGGAGGGGAGGGAGGAAGGGGAACTGATGTTTCCACTTGTCACCCTAGCGGGGGAGGGCGGCCTTGGGTGGGGCGGTGGACTCCAGGTGGGCCCTTCTAGGGGCACCTAGGTCCACATTACTGGGAATCAGAATGCGCCAAAGGAAGTCGGTGCGCCCCCTTTCTCCAATTAAGAAAATGAATAAAGCACACCCAACAGCCCCACGCGCGCGCTGGTAAACTGGGGGTGTGGGGGGGGGGGTCATCCCATTCTGGCATGGGCTCAGACTCCCCTCCCGCCCTTTGCCGGAAGGTCCAGGTTCCCCCTGGATCTGGAGGCCCCAAGCCCTGCTGGGGGACACCTCGGAGCCCTTTGAGGGTGGGGGTCCGTCCGGGTCCAGACATCTTGCGGTGGCCGCCCGCCCGGGCGCTGCTCCCGCCACGCCCTCGCAACCAGGCTCCTTGACCTGGCTTCGACCTTTCGCAAACCGCCAGGCTCGGAAACTTTCTGCGTCTCTTGTTTCTTCAGCCGCGGGGAGCGTGGTCTGCGAGCGAGCCGCGCGTGGCGGGTGCTGCGGCACGGCCACAGGAGGGCGCTCCAGCACGTGGGTGCGCGTCCGGCCGGGGTTGGGTCCCGACAGTGCGGGTGAGCGGCGGGGGTCGTCATCATTCAGGAAATGATGACTCAGAATTATTCAGGCCCCAGCTTCCCTTTATTCCCGCTCCGCTCCCGACCTTTTTGGTGATCTCACAGTTGCTTAGCGCCTGCCCTGGGGACGGCGAGGGAGCATAAAGCCTGTCAAGGCAATTTGAAACTCACTGGTGTGGTTTGGTATGGCAACACAAACGAAATCAGCGACCCCAACCGTATTTATATTTAAATATAGTGCCCTTAATCTATATCTATCAAGTGTTATTGAGCCACTATTTTGTGGAAGGGACTAGTTACGTTGGGATAGAAAAAGATAATTAACCCCAAACGTGGCTATGCTCCCAAGGGTCTGCCTTCATTTGTCGTCTGGAGCAAGTGTTAAGGGAGACCCACTTACCTTGCAAGGCAAGATCAAAGTAGCTCTGAGTTTACAAGAGGCATGCTGGGGACGCAGGCTGCCAGAGAGAGAGAGATCAGCCTGCACCCGAATGATCAGTGGAACGTTGCAGTTTGTTGGTATTTGAGAGAGAGCATTTGAACAAGGTCTTGAAGGATGGAGACCATGTGGGGTAGTTTTGGGTCGTGCATCCTGACTGTGTAAATAAAGTGGTGAAGCAACACATAGTTCTCTGGAGAGTGAGGGAGGCAAATGAATGAAACTCGAGTATTTCTAGAAAAGGTGAGATCTTCTCAGTCCGTGGGCAGGGAGCTGGAGGTTCAGCTTGTGGCGGAGGGGTGTTCTACAAGATCTCCTCCTAATGACTTTATTTATTGATCAGAATTTGGACACTAGGGGCTATGTTAGTACTGCATGAAATGCCCCCAAAATACAGGTGCTGGTTAAGAAAATAACTAGTTCTAGAATCTTCTCTATTACCTGCAAAATCTCTTTATTCTGGTTGGTCCTTTCTCAGGCTTTCTTGAACAGGCAGGCACAGCTCCTTTCCCCAGTTTTTTTTTTTTTTAACTTAAATACCCACCGCCTCCCTATAAAGTAATCACATTTGAGTGGTATAGATGGAGGCCCTTCCTTCCTTAATTGGCAAATGAAATCAGATTCTACTTGTAACACCATGTATAATTATAACTTAATTAATATATAATTCATTTGGACTAATGCATGATTCAGTTTCTGTAAGGTCATATTCTGAAGTAGGTTTCTACTTTGTCAGAGAAGCAGGGGGTCATTTTGGATTGATAGAGGTTTCAAACTGTAAGGATTCAGGCGCACCAAATCGGATGATGGATGGGGAGGCTACGCCCATCTTGCCAGAGACTAGACCCCTAGAGTCTGACTGGTAGTAAACTCCACAGTTACCATGATTCCCCTTTGCGCTGTGCCCTACCAACCTGAACATTGAATATTGGGAAGCAACTTAATGTCTTTAAAGAAGACAGTTATCATCAGTTTAGGTAGACCTTTGGAACCTACCTAACTTTTGTTTCAACTCTTTTTTCTTTTTTTTTTTTTAATATATTTTATTGATTTTTACAGAGGAAGGGAGAGGGATAGAGAGTTAGAAACATCGATGAGAGAGAAACATCGATCAGCTGCCTCCTTGCACACTCCCTACTGGGTATGTGCCCGCAACCCAGGTACATGCCCTTGACCGGAATCAAACCTGGGACCCTTGAGTCTGCAGGCCAATGCTCTATCCACTGAGCCAAACCGGTCAGGGCTTGTTTCAACTCTTGACTTGCTTTAGGCCAGATTCATGGGCCTATAGAACTTCTGGGACTTATTTCTGTTTAACCACCACCATTCATTAGTAGCAGTGTCCATATCTTTTAAAATGAGGCAAATGCTTTGTCTTGGAGAGTCATTTTCTAGAATCAACACTGTCTCTGCCGCCCCCCCCCCCCCCCCCCCCCCG